CATTTAATCTGTTTCTAAACAGGGAAAGTCACCTAAACAAATATAAACACTGCACCTTCATCAAGAAAGTATTTATTGTGTACCTACTGTGTGCCTAGCATAGGCATGAACGTCATTGAGGGGTGGGGACTATGGAGGAGGGTTTCAAACAAAGTTTAAGATCTCTTGGCAGGTCTGCTCCAAGTCATACTCTTACTTTGTTTTTTAATTTATTTTTTTATCGAGGTCACATTGGTTTATAACATTATATAAATTTCAGCTGTACAGCATTATGTTTCGACTTCTGTATAGACCACATCACCTTCACTACCGAAAGTCTGGTTTCCATCCGTCACCGCACAAATGTCCCCCTTTACCCCTTTCGCCCTCCCCCACCCCCCTTCTAGAAGTCATTTTGCTATAACAACCCAGGATTAGTTTGTTGCCTTTTCATTTCTCTCTTTGTGCTATAAAGAAGATTCAGGGCTGGCCCAGTGGCCAAGTGGTTAAGTTCACGCGCTCTGCTGCAGGTGGCCCAGTGTTTCATTGGTTCGAATCCTGGGCGCGGACATGGCACTACTCATCAAACCATGCTGAGGCAGCGTCCCACATGCCACAACTAGAAAGACCCACAACGAAGAATATACAACTATATACCAGGGGTCTTTGGGGAGAAAAAGGAAAAAAATAAAACTTTAAAAAAAAAAAAAGAAGATTCACATCAAGCCTGGGCTTATGAGGTAGGGATAGGAATCGGGGTCACAGAAAGTGTTAAGAAATAGGAGTCAAAGCCTTCAACAGTTCTTGAAGGAGATAAAATGTAAGTTCATTGCCTCTGTAATTTTGGTCACTGATCAAAAGGAAGCCTCAGACCCCAGTCCAAAAGCACAGGTCAAGCATTCGCCAGTTTATCAGACCTGGATGGAGATAAGGGTTTCAGGAGGGTGTCAGAGCTTCTGAGAAGCCACCAGGAGCTGTCATCGCTAAGGAGAGGAGAGCAGAGGGATGGGTCTCTACTCTCTCTTCACCCTTCATCCAGAGAAGTCTGCTTTTGTCTGTTTCATTTGTTTACGCATTCACATCAGATTTTTTTTGAATGAAGGGTTTCTTCTGTTAATATCTTAACTTGCGTCTGGGAAAATAAAAACACATCTTGTTTTTTACTATTTCTTTTTCTCACAGATCCCTGCAAGGTTTGGAAGAAGGAGTAAAATAGAACTCATGCCCTGGAAATATGAGGGCTCTGAGGGCTCTTGCTGGTACAACTAAGGCAGCCATTAACCTCTCTGTGCTTCACTTTCATACCTGCAGAATAGTACCATGATTTTTATATTACCACCTTTGTAAAAATGATGAATTTGAAACAGCTTGGAAAGCACCAGCTTCTATTTCACCTTGAAAGTCAAATACCAATGTTAAATAATGAAAAGAACCATCTCTTAGGATGCTCTGTGCATTTTTCTATCGGCTACTGTGCTCATCGAGATTAATAAATGTATCCTTCTATCTGCTCGATTAATTTGCAATAAAAGAACGTAATCATCAGTAGACACACAGGAGAATTGCACGGTTTGCCAGGCAGGCGTACACAAAGAGTGGGTGAGGAATGAATGTCTACAACTACACACAGTGACATTGATACATCTCACAAACATAATGCTGAGTGAAGGAAGCCAGGCACAAAAGAGCATATGCTGAATGGTTCCATTATAAAAAGTTCGAAAACAGGCAAAATTAATCTATGATGTTAGGAGCCAGGATAATAGTTACCCTTGGGTAGGGGGAGTAGCAACTGGAAGGAAATACAAGGGAGAGCTTCTGGGTGCCATTAACGTCCTGTTTCTCTATCTGGGCATTGGTTAAGAGGACGTGTTCACTCCAAGAATTCATTGAAGTATATACTTAATGATTTGCCCACTTTTCTGTAGGCATGTTACACTTTAATGAAAATATTAAATGAGCAATTAATATAGCTTAAGTTGAGTGGAGAATTGTATTCTGTCCGCTGATTTAAGTAGAAATACTGCTGCATCTCTGCAACTCAGGCTGGGGATGGAAACCTCAAGGACCGTCCTGTGAGGCTCGCCCCATCCCAGAGGCTGGCACAAATCTGGCGCAGTACTAGACAGTTTTAATTACAACCTATTTTCACTCTAAAAATCAAGGTAACAGGTTTTGATGAAAAATTGTGCCAAGGGGCAACTATTAAGATGCACATGTACACAACAGAAATGCCCTGCCATGCTTTTGGTTGATGTTTACCATTTCTGTAAGCATTTAAAGCAGCTACTTATTCTGACTGATTCGCCTCCTGTTGAGTTTGGCAGGATGCCACATGCAATTAGACCCATGGGAATTTATTGAGTATAATGATGACTACTCTGTGAACCGTAACTTTTTATGGTCATATGTTCCTTTTCTCATGTATTTGTTGTTACAGTTTGCAATTTTGTGCAGGTTTCAGAGCACTTCTTTATAGAAAACCATCATTTACCAGAATGCTTAATGTCACCTTTAGAAAAAATTTTACTGGAGTAAAACATGACTATTACATGTCCGAATTAAATTAGATACTTAAAAATACATTTAATAATAGCTTCCAATCCTGGGTCTGCTATTTATTAGCTATGTGTCCGTGGACCATTTGCTAAACCTGTTTCAGCCTAGTTTTCTCAGTGGTCTCACCCTCATAGGGTTGTCATGAGGATTAAGTGAGATAATCCATGTTATTAATGTAGAGCACTTGGCACAGAATCTGCACCCAAAGGCTTATTAAATCTTCACTCTTGGGGCCGGCCCCCGTGGCCAAGTCGTTAAGTTCACACACTGCTTCGGCGGCCCAGGGTTTCCCCGGTTCAAATCCTGGGCACAGACATGGCACTGCTCATCAGGCCATGCTGAGGTAGCATCCCACATGCCACAACTAGAAGGACCCACAACTAAAAATACACAACTATGTACTGGGGGGCTTTGGGGAGAGAAAAAGGAAAAGTAAAATCTTTAAAAAAATAAAAATAAATCTTCACTCTTGGTTTTATTAATAGCTTAACTACCACATATGTGAGTGGTAAAACCAATCACTTATTCAGGGACACTTGATATCAAAAATAACATTTGAACAGAAAAAAGTGGTAGAAAACACCAACAACTACGAAAAATTCAATTTAAAAAACTTAAAATGGAGAAATTTCTATGTATTCATCAATTCTTTTGATGACTTCAGAAAAGAACACCTCTCTTAAGCACTAATAATAAAAAAGAAAATAAAATTCTGCCCAACTCATGGAAGACCAGTGTTGAAAGGGAGCAAAACTTGAGAATTACTGACTGGTTTATGCAAGATTCATTTTTCCTTTCCTGCATGTCAGATGTCAAAACGCTCTCTTAAAGGAGCCAGCTTTAAAGAATAGAATGTTCTCATCTGTTTCCTTTCTAGGACTTTAAAGATTAGATGACACTTATATGTTTCCCCTCTTCCTCCTTCCTTCTCTCACGGGGAAAGAGGAGTACCTTAGTAAGAACAGTGAACTTGAGATCTGAATCCTGGTGCTATTAGTATTAATTGAGTGAACTTAGCAAGTCACTTAATCCCTCTGAACTTCATTTTGTTATGTATTTGATGAACCTCATTACCGATCATTACAAGGCAAGAATTATACGATGTAGTCGTTTGCTTCTAAGTCCTAGGAAGCTCTGATACTTGTAAGTAGGATAAGATATTTGAAAAATCAAACAACGTGTTTTTGTTTGTGGTACCCCCTCCTGGATCCTATCCATTTGCCCATTTGGGCAGTCATATTACTGATTCAAGGGAGGTCTGATAGAGCAGAAATGCGGAGAGAAAGAAAAGAGGCGATGTGTGGCTTATGAGTTTCAAAATAGACTTTTTGAAACTCATTACAGAGATAATAGTTTGAGAAAAAAAGAAATTTTGAGTTTGAACAGCCTAGGCTTCCAGGCACAAACAATTGATTTCAAAGAATACGTGGATAGTCAGAGCCAGTTTTTCTCCCTGCTTTATGACCTGGCCTCCAATACTGGTAACTGGGAGGGAAAGAAGAGGAGCAAGAGAGAAGAGACAACGGAAATAGAAATTGATGGACCTTTCACACTGTACCTGCTGTCTGTCCACCAGGCCAAGCACTGAAAGGTGAGGAAAATGACGGAAATTTCAGATGAGTTTGGGGAACTCCAGAGCTGTGAACATCTGTGTCTTTCTTTTAAGACAGAGCTCCAGGAGATAGCAAATGTTATAGAACTCTCTGGCACCCAGCATGAGGAAGGAACGATAGAGTAGAGAGAAACTTGCAGGATCTTTGTGCCCAGCGTGGCATGGAGAGCTGCCAAAAGGTCAAGAGAGCAAAACCAAGAGATATCTCAGGTCTTGTGATCAGAGTGAAGCAAACCCCACAAGGGATGGGAGACAGCCAAGGTCCAATGGGGATACAGAAGTCCCAGCAGATTCCAGTATGGACATTTGATGATGATGTTCTGATGACCAATGACCAGATCCCCATGGCCCTAGACGTCTAGGCGTCCAGATACTCTCCAGGACTTAACCATGACTGTGGGGAAAGGGAAAGGAGATCCTAAATTGACAAAGTCAACCCTGAAATGACTGAGGATTGCCTAACGTTGCGGAGATTTGGTTTCCACCATGCAGCAAAATTGGCGCAAACAAGAAAAAGTTCTTTACATGTTAGAAAAATACACATTTCTTGCCCACATGAGTTGGAGGCCTTAGAATTTGTGCCCGCTTACATTTTGTACTGACCATACGGAGTTATTTGGGACGTCTACGCAAGTCCTCGTGGAATTCCTACAGATGAAGCTAATCTTTCTGCTTGCAGCTTCTATGAGAATTGGAAAGCGCGTTCAGAGGCTGGTAGGGCTACTCTCAGTGACAATGTTTTCCCTTTGTGGTTACTAAAGAGACAAATCCCCGCACTGGGCTATTCCTCCCAGGTCCTCACCCTCCGGCCCCCTCTTCAACACAAGTGCTGGTTTGGCTGTAGACTCACCTGTTTCTGTGGACAATCGTGTTCGAGTACTTCTTTTTTCAAAAATCATGCCTAGGGACTTCCCTTGCAATAAAGGCAAATACTGAAAATCAAGGACAAGAATACAATTAAAATGAAAAATATATTTTATATCCAATATCAAGGATTATGCTCCAAAACTTATTCTTTGCATTATTAGAAAACATAGAATAATTAATTACTGCTTCCAAGTAAGCATTCAAAATGTTAATTTTGAAAGTGAGTTTCAAGTGTTTTTTCCATGTGCTGTACAAATGGAACAGAAACTCCCATAGCTCACTGACATGTAATTAGAACGCATTATTAGTTGATCTGGGTTCAACCTGAACATTTGCTTCAAAGTACATTCATATTTCATATGGGAACCATCTTCTCACTTAAATCCATGGAAATCCCTATCAATGTTCAGTCACCTTGAAGATGCTTGACTGGGAAGTGTTTTCTCAGCTAGGAACATGCTACTCTATCACAACATGGGGTATTAAGATTCCTAAAGATGAATCCCCAGAGTTTCGGCTACACTTTCATCACGCATCCTCGTGGGAGTGCAAAGGCTTTTCTGGAGGTCATTTGGAAACAATCTGGAGAGTCTGGGTGTGGGGTGGGGCTCTTCCTCCTTCCTCTTTCTGTAGATGGACTTCCTGATAGGATGCCTTCTGGAACAAATAGATTCCTGTCCGCTAACCTCTGTCACATACAAAATGTGAAGAACCAAGGCCTGGGATCTTGGGGGAGCTTTTCTCCACATTTCAGGTCTTCCATAGGAACGTCAACCCATAGTAGTTGGAGTCACTCCTGTTTTCAGTTTGTTCTTAGGAACTTGGAGAGCTAGTGAACCAGATAAGAAAATCAAGGTGGTGTAAAACGTTCTCAACCTGAAACCAACTCTTTAAAATGCTTTTAAACAAGCTTGGAATAGGAAAATGCTTTCACAATTAAGCAGTCTAAATGAAGCTGCTGCATTAATTAAGCGTGTTTCAAACATAAATTGCTCAAAATGCAGAATAATGCTTACAGCTAAGCACCATATCCCATCTCTTCTCCTACTTGGTTACCATTTAATTGTTTCTTGCTAATCTAAATTTTTTTTAACACTGTCACATCATCGTGAATTTTTTGACATTATCCTAATTATTGTAGATCTGATATTCATCCACAATTGAAATTTGTTGCTGGAAAAAAATGTAGCATCCTTATTTTTAACTTGATAGAAAACACAGGGAAAAGAAAGGAGGTATAAAAATAAAATCTTTCCGGAGAAATGATTCCTTTGGTTCTGATCCAGTTAATAATGCATTTCAACATTCCACATGAAAGAAGTGCAATGGCTTGTCATTGAATAACTGATTTTTATGCTTTTTATATTCCTCTACACTCAGTGATAATCAATTACCTTGACTGTGTGGTTTCATTACTTAGCTACTGTTTAGGAATTTTAATGTGTTTTCCTTTCCCTCTTTTTTTGGAAAAGCTGTCTTTAAAAAGGCTGATTGGTAGTAATGGATGGTAAGATGAAAATGCTACATACCTCTCCTTTCTGTTTAATCCTAAATTTCAGATCTGCTGATAGCCATAGCATATACTTAATTTCTTCTCCTGTAAAGTTCTTCAGCGTGAGGAGGTCACGGCCCTTCAGCTGTACTTTATTTTGTAGTGGTTGTCCACATCTACAAAGAAGTAAAAGCAAGAGACATATATTTAAGGGAAAAAAACCCTTATCCTATGGTGAATCACTGTTTTAGTCTTGAAACAAAACATAGTAAATAACATGTAGCCTCGCGTGTCTCTGCAGTGTTAATGCATGGAAATTGATGAAGCTGTGCTTTACATTTTAGATATCCAGTAGTTTCAGTGTTGAGAGAAAAGAAGAATTTAAGGAAAGAGGTTGAATTCTTACTTGCTGGAATAGCCATATGAGTGCCTTTGCCAGTTACTAGCTATGCAACTTCAGGCAAGCTACTTAACCTCTCTCTGCACCTAAATTTCTCACCTAGAAAATGAGTATAATAATCTTATAGGGTTGTGGCGAGGATGAAATAAATTAATACATGGAAATAAGACAATGTCTGGTGTGTAATAAACATTTGATAAATTTTAGCTATTATTACTGAGATCATTAAATTGTACAATCAGAGTTTGTGCTGTACATACAATAGAAAACAATTTCATTCTTCTTTTCCCCTACTGCCCTTCAAATCTATTCTTAGAGATTTGTTCTTTTTACTTGTCCCTGGTCAAATACAATGGGCCCTGTAGCTTTTCTAGTAACTTTCAGAAAATAAAAAAAAGTCCTCTGCTTATTTTACTCCCTCAAAGAGTCCCAGTAAAATAATGTATAATAATAATAATAATGATTTTTTAAAACTTTAAGAAATGTACTGCAAGTTAACATCTTTTTCCTTGCAGTTCATGCCTAATTCAAGGTGGCCTCCTCTATGGGGACAGCGGAGCCATGAGTCATTTCCTCTGTTGCCCTGCCTTCAGTTCCTCCAAGTAAAGCCAAGGGAAGGTGAGGACGGAAGGGCCAGGCGAAGGCTGGTTCTGTTCTAGCAATCTGGCATTGGTGTAGGTGCTTGAGGCTGACTCTTTCTCTTAGGGGATGCTTTTGAGGGTCCTTTGGAGAACTCTCTCATCATTTCTCACAGCAGTCCTTGATGGCAGATAATTATATTTCCTCTGCCCTCCAAGGGAACACATCCAGACTCTTTTTGTTGAGATCGCCCATCCCTTCAGGAGGTCTGTTGTTCATGATGTGAAACAGTACCAGGCTAGATCTCTTTCTCATTCCGTATTGGTTCATGGGAAGCCCTTCATGTTCTTTGCTCTGACAAGAGTCAGGTTCATCCCAGTACAGACTCCTCTCTTATTCTGCTGTCAAAACAGCTAGCCAGCCAATTCCTCCTACTTTAGATTTCCCAGGTATAGGCCTGATATCAGTGTACTGTGTCTCCAAGCTCTCCCATCGAAGAGATTGGTGCCTCTGGAGCCACTTTCCCCCGTCTTGAGGTGAGGGATGAGTACCCCTCCATTTGGGACACAGCATACACAATGTTAACTCTTCAAAAATCCTCCTCAAATCTACAACCCATCTCTTGGTTTCTGCAATCCATTTTAGAAACTGGAGGTGATCACCAATGGGTTGCTAAACTGACTTTTGTGTATCTCCTCTGCAAGTCCTGTTTTAGTGGTCTAGCATCTCACTTTGGCATGAGGGAAGAGTTGGCACCTATTGGGCCTGGGCAGAAACTGAAAGAGAAAGAGTCTCATTTTAACATTGTGTTACATTCTGATGACAATAATCGTTATTTGGGGCAATCAGTATAAAATGGACAGCATTTATTCTTTCAGTATTCCCAGTGTTATCCCTATTAACAATAACTGGTATTGTATACCATTAGAAAATGTGAATAACCAAGGGCAAATTGTGGTTCACCACATGTATTAAACATTAATTTTACTAGGAGTAAAACAACTGTCACAAAATGATCACGCTTGAACTCCAGCTTAAGAAGCGCACTTGTGCTACTTGAGATGAAGAATAAATTCCCTGGTGGGATTTATATATGTCTTTTTGCAATGATGACAAGATGACAGGTAGGAAAATCACAAATTCACTCAATTTGTTGTTTTCACTGCATGATATCAAATAACGGACAAATGAATGTTTCCCTAAATATCCAACTTACTAGCAGAGTTGATTGCTTCATTTAGTATTCAGTAGGTGAATAGATTTTTTCAGTAGAACTTTTGTGAGATTAAATCCTTCAGAGAGTCTAGTTAGTAAGGAAAGGAACTTCCATAAAGATCAAGGGTTTGTGGGTTAGTTGGCTAATGGTTGATTGATTGATTTAATGTAAGATACTAACGACATATTCAACTCCAATTGAAATTAGTGTTTTCAGCTTATATGTGGATCGACATCTTGGTCAATATTCCTATTTCAAAGATGTACTATTGTCATCAACTTTTAAAAATATGTGATTCATAGACTCTTCAAATGGAAATTTCTTTAAAGAGGCAGTCCTGAATTTTTTTATTACAGACTTCTAACATTAAAAAATTTTGAACATGGATCAACAATGTATGTTTACTTATTTATAATATATGTGTCACTTTCCTAATAGATTATGTACATAACAAAACGTAAAGAAAAATAAATTAAAAATTTAGACTAAGAAGAACCAAATATTTTAAAAATAAATTATAAATACACAAAAATATTTTGCTGGCTAAAGAAGCTTCTAGAATAGACCTTTTACTGGAGCTGTAGTAAAAAGCTTACAAAACTGTGTCCAAGATCTGGATAGTAGCAGTCAACAATTTGATAACTTTAGAGACATAGCATTTAGGAGGAAATTTGTTTTCAAATATATTTTGGTTAGACTTTTGGTTCTGATAATACTAATTAGTGACAATATTAAGCAATACTTGGAATATACAAGTACTGATATTGTTGGCAAGTAAACCCTTTGAGTGATATTTGTGCATTTTTTGACTGGAAAGTTCATGCATTTTTCAACTCCAGTTCCAGAGTCAACTGGATCCTTCTGGAGATCTGTAAACAGGTTTAACATGTCTGGCCTGGCAGCTTAATCTTTCCCAATTCACATTTAGGGTAGCTTTGAAAATATTTTTTCTTCTGAAATAAGGTCCAAGCAACATCACAGAAGATAAACTCTCTTGACTTAGTGTCTTAAAATAACACATTAATATTCCATGGCTTGAGACTTCTTCCAATATTATTTTAAAAGGGGGAAAAAATTTGCTGAAAAATCCCATTCCCTAGGATTCAAGGAATTTGGGAAATATCACTATAGTTGTCGAACTCACATCCATCAACAACAGGGAAACAACCATGAGCTAATTTTGAGGCCTTATTTTTTTGCTTAGAGTGTAAGCTCAGACTCCTGGTTATTTTGGAGCCCACAAAAGCTGAGTCTCTAGTCTGCTACACTTAAGGGATTCTTACCCTCCCCTACTCTCAGTTCCTGAAGGCTTTTGTCTACAGTAGTCCCCCCTTATCAGAGGTTGCACTTTCCATGGTGTCAGTTACCAGTGGTCAACCACAGTCTGAAAATATTAAATGGAAAATTCCAGAAATTAAGAATTCTTAAGGTTTGTTTTGTTTTGAGGAAGATTCACCCTGTGCTAACATCTGTTGCCAATTTTCCTCTTTTTGCTTGAGGAAGATTTGCCCTGAGCTAACATCTATGCCAATCTTCTTCTATGTGTATGTGTGTGTGTGTGGGTCACTGCCACAGCATGGCCACCAATGAGTGGTGTGGTCTGCACCTAGGAACCAACCCCAGGCCACCAAAGCAGAGCGTGTTGAATTTAACCACTAGGCCACAGGGCCAGCTCCTAAGATTTCTTAAGTTTTAATTGCATGCCTTTCTGAGTAGTGTGATGAAACCTTGCACCTTCCCACCCCATCCCACCCATGAGAATCATCCCTTTGTCCAATATATCCATGCTTGATACACAACCTGCTGGTCAGTCACTTGGTAGCCATCTAGGTATCAGACCAACTGTGGTGGTATCTCAGTGCTTGTGTTCAGGTAACCCTTATTGTACTTGACAACGGCCCCAAAGAGCAAGAGTAGTGATGCTGGCAATTCAGACATGCCAAAGAGAAGTCATAAAGTGCTTCCTTTTAGTGAAAAGGTAAAAGTTCTCGACTTATTGAGGAAAGAAAAAAATGTATGCTGAGATTGCTAAGAACTACGGTAACTTTTATTACAGTATATTGTTATAATTGTCCTATTTTATTATTAGTTATTGTTAATCTCTTACTGTACCTAATTTATAAATTAAACTTTATCGTAGGTAGGTAGGTAGGTATAGGAAAAAACATAGTATACATAGGATTCAGTACTATTTGTGGTTTCAGGCATCCACTGGGGGTCTTGGAACATATCCCCCACAGATAAGGGGGGACTACTGCACTCCCTTCTAAGTACTCACTTTCATTTAAGAGAATATCATAGATCTTAGAATTGTCGTGTTGTTATTGTTGAATCTCAAGAAAAAGAATTGGAAATAAAAGGGAAATGAAAATTTTTCAGGGAACTAAATTTTTCTCCCTCCTTTCCATGAAAGGAAATAGGAAAATAACAGTGAAAGAGGAGGACCAATGACACCTTTAGCTACTTCAAAAAAGCTCCGACTTCCAGCTTTTATTACCCAAACAGAAGACAGATTGGGAGAGATAGAAGGTCTCTGGAGCTTTCTCAAACTTATCTTTATGTACTTCAAGAAGTTTTTAAGTTGGAGGGGGCAGTTAGGGTTGAGGTTAGGGTTAGAATTAATGTTCTGCTGTTGCGATCACATTGTGAAATGCAGCTTTTCTTATTTCTCCATTGACAGGGTTTAAAGATAAAAAGAAGACATAAACATCCTGCTTGAATCTTCCCTTTTTGTCCAGACCTTTCATTTTAAAATTTATATAGCAACAAAAACCGTATTTCAAATTCTTTTTCTTAGACCACAATTGATCAGATGAATACCTCTTTGTGACTCCAGTCTCCACATGGCAGCCGCCGACAATGTTGCCCTCACTTGTGTTGCCCTGGGATCACAACTCCAATAAATGTTAGCAGATAAGCTTTTTTTTTTTTTAATACAGAAAGTTCTGGCTTTGCACGGTAGTGTGGGACTGTAAATAACC